TGGGGTAGTAGTTGGCATGAAGTGTGGTGGGAATACAAGTAGAATAAAGAAAATACTGTGCTCCTTGCTCTTAAAGTGCTTGTAATCTTGGGAGGAAATCCAGCCTACCAAAAAAATAAATATAATGGAAAATAAACTTGGCCTAAAACCATTAAAAGTGTCTCAGAATCATTCTCTTATTAGTTCCTCTGAATTATCTAGAAGACCAAATCATTAAATGTGTATTTAACATAGGGATTGCTTTTTTTAAAAAAAAAGTTGAGAGTAATATGTTTGTTTTGTAGGATTATGCCTATCATCTTATATGAAGAAAATGTTTTACTATCTTTCCTTACTTACCATAATATGTTTGAATGTGTTATGACTATATTTTAGTATGCAACATTAGGTGCTTTCTCAGTTTATAGCTTAGAACTGTTTAAATATTAATATGTCTATTAACTATGGGGCTATGGAATATGCAGTAGTTAATTTTCTTTATTTTTCTTTCTCTAATGTACTGTGACAGTTATGGTACACATAGTTATATAAAATTAAGAAAAGAGAAGTAAAACTATTTTGATTAAAGTACATGTTTTGGTAAAATTTCGTGTCATAAGTAGTGTTTTGCCAACAGAGATGGCTATATCTATTTTCTGCTCTCTGATTCTCTGACATCAACTGTTGGGACCAAAAAGTCAGTCAATCCTAACACTCTGGGGTTAACACAGAAACCGCAAGTTCAGGGCTCAGGCCTCCAGGACTGTCCTTATCCTGGATGCAAGTCACAAGTCCCAGTTGGCCAGGAGTACTTCTGACTAACCCGTTGTAAATTCTAGAGTCCCCATAACTTCCTCCACAGTTTGAAAATTTGCTAGAACAACCGTTAGAACTCAGGAATAGCCAAATGGAAGCAAAGTTTTGGAGGTTGTAAGTGGCACAGAGCTTTCATGCCCTTTTCAAGCATGCTGCTCTCCCAGCACATCAGTATGTTTTTCACCAACCCAGAAGCTGTCCTAATATCTTTATTCAGGAGTTTTTATAACCCAGTCTTCAGTTCCACTCCCTTCTCCTGAGGTCGGTTGAGGGGAGTGGTGCTGAACTTCTACCCTCTATTCAAGCATTTGGTCTTTCTGGTAACCAGTCCCCTCCAGAAACTACCTACGGGTACCCCTTCTTGAGTTAAAAGATACTCCTACCACTAAGGAAATTCCAAGGGTTTTAGGAGTTCTGTGCCAGGAACTTAAGACAAAGATCAAATGCATACTTTTTATTATATATTATACCACCCTATAATGAAAAAAATATATATTGATAGAATTCGAGATCTTAGCAGTCAAGGCTTTCAGCAATTGCTTTGCATCTGTGTCAGTTATTTGATCACAATTTGACTTGTCAGTGTGGTGGCTTCTTTTCACTTCTGTACTCTATGGCTTTAGAAGATCCTCATCACTATCTCATTGTTACCATTTCATTTCATGCTAGGTGAGTTTAGGAAGTTGTCCATACACAAAGATGTTAACTCCAGAGTTCATTGTAATTTCATAGTTTTAAATACAAAATATATTTTCTGTTGAAAGAGTAGGGTAAGTGGTGAATGTTTTTATACCAATTCATTGGCTTTGGCAAGATAGCGTGCTAAGTTCAAAAGAAGAAAATTGGTAGTATTGAGGATGAAAAGGCCGATAATTGCTTTTAAATCTAGGGAAATGAGAACTTTGCTGTTCAGTGTCTACAGATGCCAGAGGAAAGATAATGTGTACTGTGGACTGAATTGTATGCCCGAAAATTCATATGTTAAAGTCCTAACCCAATGTGACTGTATTTGGAGATAAGGTATGTAAAGAGGTAATTGAGGTTAAATGAGATTATGAAGGCAAAGCCCTAATCCAATAGGAGGATGACTTGTAAGAAGAGGAAAGAGGCACCAGGGATGGGCACACTCAGGTAAAGGCCGTATGAGGACACAGCAAGAAGGCAGCCATGTGCAGGCTAAAGAGAGAGGCCTGGGGAAAAATCAAACCTGCCAATGCCTTAATCTTGGACTTAGAGCTTCCGGATCTGTGAGAAAATTAGTTTCTCTTGTTTAAACTGCCCAGTCTGTGATATTTATTATAGCAGTCTTAGGAAACACAAATTGTGACAATAGAATTACAGCCAGTGCTCCACCAATATAATGTTAGTGAGAAACAGAGTATGCAAAGGTGGGGAAATAGATGTCTTATAAGGAGGAGCTCTGGCATCGTAACTTTTATTTAGAAAGTCATTGTAGTTGATTAGTTATATCTTATGTAATGACTTGAAATGTTAATACAAATCTATATTATAAGGATTATGTCTCTGATAACTTTATTTCTTGTTTGCCTGAAAGGCTTCACAGCATAATACAGTAGTTAAAATCAGAGGCCCTAGAATCAGACCGCCTGTATATGAATCCTAGTACTGTTTCTTCCTTGGGCAGATTACCTCACCTAATGTCAATTCCCTTCTCTGAAATAAGTGAGATAACAGTACCTACCTTTGTGGTTGTTGTAAACCTTTTAGTATGCTGCCTGTTCTTCAATGTAAGCACCTATCTTTATTCTGTGTAAAGTTGTATGTTATACACAGGAATGTGTAGAAATAAGTTGTGATGTTCCATCAGCAAAAGGATAATGGCTGTTGGCTCTGTTGTTTTATTTGAGGTGAAATTCACATAATATTAACCACTTTAGAGTGAACAACAGTTCAGTGGCATTTAGTAATTTCACAATGGTATATAACCATCACCTCTAGTTCCAAAACATTATCATCACCTCACAGTAAAATCCTGTACAAGTAAAGCAGTGCTCAGCATTCTCTTCTCTCCCCAACCCCTGGAAACTACCAGTCTGCTTTCTGTCCTTACGGACTTATATAATTTGGTATTTCATATGAACAAGTCATAGAATGTAACTATTTATATCTGGCTTCTTTCACTTAGTATGATATTTTGGAGATTTTGGATATTCACGTTGTAGTGAGTGTTAGTACTCCCTTTCTTTTTACACTCCATCTCTCTAATACCTAGAAGTGGAATTGCTGGGTCATATGGTAATTTTATGTTTATCTTTTTGAGGAGACACCAAATTGTTATCCACAGTGTCTGAAACAATTTACATTCTTATTGGCAATATATAAGGGTACCAGTCTTCACATCCTTATTGACACTTGTATTTTTCCATTTTTGTTTTTCATTACAGCCCTTCTGGTGTGTGTGTAGTGTCTCTCATTTCCCCTATGACTAATGATGCTGAGCATCTTCTTCTTGTATTTATTGGCCATTTCTGTATCTCCTTTGGATAAGTATCTATTCAGGTCCTTCAACCATTTTTAATTAGATTGTTTTGTTTTTAAGTTATTAAGAGTTCTTTATATATCCTAGATGCTTGACTCTTTAACATATGTATAGTTTGTATATAGTTTCTCCCTTTTTGTGGAATATCTTTCCACTTGATAATGTCCTTTGGTGCACAGCCTTTAAGTTGCATGAAGTGTCTATTTTTTCTTTTGTTGCTCATGCTTTTAGAGTCATATCTAAGAATCTGTTGCCAAGTCCCAGATTATGTAGATTTACTCCTATGTATTTAAGAATTGTATGATTTCAGTTTTTATATTTGCGTCAATTTTTAAAAAAAAGACTTTATTTATGTATTTATTTCTTAATTACTATTAATTGTGCATGGGCACATGAGCAATGGGAGGGACAGAAGGAGAGGGAGAGAATCTCAAGCTGACTCCACTTTGAGCATGGAGCCTGATCTCGAGATCATGACCTGAGCCGAAATTAAGAGTTGGACCTTAACTGACTGAGCCACCCATGTGCCCCTAATTAATTTTTAGATACACTGTGATGTAGGGGCCCAATTTCTTTTTTTTTTTTTTTTCATGTGGATATCCTGTTGTCCCAGTGCCATTTGATGAAGAGAGTATTCTTTGTGTTGTTGTTATTTCTATTTTTAAATCTACTTCTTGACTAGAAAGGAACTCTAATGAAGTAATTAAGATTACTGGATCCAAATCTGGCATTACTGCTTATGACCTTGTGACTTTTGGCAAGTTATTTAAACTTCCTAACACTCAGTTTTCTTCAAGTATAAAATAATAGAAAAACCAACTCTATAACATTATTGTGACTATTGTATAATGCATGTACAGCACTTAGCAAGATTCCTGATAATGAGAGATCAGTTTTGGCAAGAATTACCATCAATATCTGTGATTTTTAAAGAAATAACTATTTAGTAACAACTAACCCAAATTATGATCCATGAGACCTAGACTAATACTAATTCTTCAAAAGATGGGAGTAATGAATCCAAATGAGTTGAAATAAATTAGAAAAACATTATGATTGAGTGGAAATTTAATAGTGTATCAGGGCAATTATGTATGTTAAATATACCTTTCCAACTGTCATTATTTTATGAATAAGAAATTTGAAGTTTAGAATATTAACTGATTTTGCCGAGATATCATCATGCAATGAGCCAATGGTAGAGGGAGGATTCACATCCAGGTCTGCCTCATTAGAAGGTCTGCTGCTTCACGCTATTATATAATAACTTAATGTAGAAAAAAGGATTTAATAAACACATGATCTGTCTTCCTTCCTGGAATTTCATAAAATACTAGAGTAAGAAGAGATGAAAAATGTGTGTGTGTGTGAGTGAGAGAGAGAGAGAGAGACATATATGTGTGCCACATAAAACATTGCATACAATCAGTTCTCTAAGGGAGTATTTTATTGTGATTTATATATACTTTTGGTTAAACTTCTGACTATAGCATATCTGTACTTTTATAATTCTTTATATAATTAATATTTATAATCCGAGTATTAATATTTGACTAATCTTTTAGTATATTGAATGCAAAAATTTTAACATCTAGTAAATCAAGTTTTCTTTTTTTTAAATTAAGGTCTCCAAGTCTAATATTTCAATTATTATTGAAAAAATTTTGGAATTCATACATTTAGGTGTCTTTTGTGGTTCTCTTAGATGTAATAAAGGAACAGAATCGAGAATTACGAGGTACACAGAGGGCTATAATCAGAGATCGAGCAGCTTTAGAGAAACAAGAAAAACAGCTGGTAAGTAGAACATTAAATTTCAGTTTAACTTTTCAAACAAATTTGGAAATTAGTGTCAGAATAATTAGCTAACTAAGAAAAAGACACATGGCAGGTGGTAAGTGATTTACTAAGAAATGGCATTTACCGTCTTCCTGCATTTTCAGCTTACCTTTGTTTATTGTGTCATTCTGCTCACTTTTATCAGGATTCTGTGAATTCTGCTGGTTATAAAATCAAATTATTCTTCAGTTTGTAGAAGTCATGAATGCCTAGGAGGAAGTATTGCTCAAAACACAGCTACTTCATTCTCAGTTAACAACAAAGACAAAATAGTCCTGAATAGCAAGAAAGGGTTACAAGAAATAATTATGTGGACTCATAGGTATCTTACTTGATTTTTGGTGATCATTGTGTCTGTGATAATGAGTGTAGTTTTTAAAAAATAGATTATCTTGTCCATTTTTAAATATTTTTATGTTATGTTTTTAAATGTGTATTTAATATGGCTTCCTTCACTCATCATAATTTTGAGATTAATCAGTATTGTAACATAATCAGTATTAATTTTTTTTTATTTACTTCATTGTATGGATGTTGCACAGTTTATTTATCTGCTCATCAGCTAGTGGACATTTGGGTTATTTCCAGGTTTGGGCTCTTTTGAGTAAAGTTGCTATAAGGATGCAATTGAAGTCTTTGTGTGAACATATGTTTTCGTTCCTCTTGGGTATATTCCTAGGAGTGGGATTGCTGGATCATAGGGTAAATGTATGTTTAACTGTGTAAGAAATTGCTAGAAAGTTTTGCAAATTGGCTGTAATGTTTTCTGTTCCAACCAGCTGTATATGAAAGTAAAGTTGTTTCACATCCTGGCCAATAGTTAGAGTTGACAGTCTTTTTACTTTTAGTCGTTCTGGTGGTGTATAGTGGATTGTCATTTTAAATTGTATTTTGCTAATTACCAGTGATGTTCAGCATCTTTTCATGTGCCTTTTTGCCATTTATATGTCTTTTGCCAAAGTGTCTATTAAAATATTTTACCCATTTTTTTATGAATGTTTATTTATTTATTAGGGTTTTTTATATATTTCAAATACAAGTACCTTACTAAATATATATTTTACAAATACTTTCTTCAGTTATTGTTCTTTTATTTTCCTGATAGTGTCTTTTGTAGAACAGAAGATTTTTGTTTTTATTTTTATTTTTTTTAAAGTTTTTTTTTTTTTTTTTAATGATCTTATTTATTTGACAGAGAGAGATGCAGCGAGAGAGGGAACACAAACAGGGGCAGTGGGAGAGCGAGAAGCAGGCTTCCTGCTGAGCAGGGAGCCCAGTGTGGGGCTTGATCCCGGGACCCTGCGATCATGACCTGAGCCAAAGGCAGACACTTAACGACTGAGCCACCCAGGCGCCCCAGATTTTTATTTTAATCAAGTGCAATATATTATCCCTTTTCTCTGTGATTAGTACTTTTAGTGTCCCAGGAAAGCTTTCTCCAATCCAAAGTTGCTAGTTTTTCTCTTATGTGTTCCTCTAGAATTATATTTTAGCTCTTATATTTAGGACTGTGAACCATATTAAGTTTTACTGTGTTATCAGGTGAGGGTAGAGCCTCACTTCAACATCTGTTGAGATGATGATCATGTAGTTTTTCTTCTTTAGTCTGTTAATGTAGTGAATTACATTTATTGATTTACTAATGTTGAATCAAGCTTTTTCTCCTAGGATAAGCTCCATTGGTAAGACATGTTTTTTTAAAAAATATTTTTTTCTCAGTATGCTGAAATTTTGCAAAGAATATTTCCATCCATGTTCGTGGAAGATAATCATTTGTAGTCATCTCTTCATGCGGTGTCTTTATTTGGTTTTGACATCTGAGTGATGCTGACTTTAAAGCATGAGTTGGTTTCTCTTACTGTTCCTTTACTGGAAGAGTTTGGGTATTTCTTCCTTAAATGTTTGATAGGATTCATCAGTAAAGCGATTGGGAGGGAAATTTTCTTTGTGGATAGGTTTCTAAACTACAAATTCAATTTTTAGGAAAAAACAGATACAGAATGGATCAGGATAACTGTCTTTTTATATGAATTTTGGTAGTTAACATTTGTCAAGTGATTTGTCAATGTCTATTAAATTTTAAAATGTAATGACCTGTTATTCATAATATTCCCATATTATCCTTTAACATCTTTAGGACATGAAGGGATGCCCTGTTTTGTATCACTTTTTTTTCTTTTTTTTTTTTTTTTTAAAGATTTATTTATTTGTCAGAGAGAGAGAGAGAGAGATATCACAAGCAGGGAGAGCAGCAGACAAAGGGAGAAGCAGGCTCCCCATTGAGCAGTGAGCCTGATGTGGGACTTGATCCCAGGACCCTGGGATCATGACCTGAGCCAAAGGCAGATGCCCAACCTACTGAGCCACCCAGGCATCCCTCCTTTGCATTCCTAATCTTTGTAATTTGTGTGTTCTCTTTGTCTCATTTTCCCTCCCAGGCTAATAGCCTGCCAGTTTGATCAGTCTCTTACGAAAAATGGCTTTGGATTTCATCAATTTTCTATATTTTTCTTTCCTACTATATAGATTTCTTTTATTGCTTATATTATTTTTTACTTGTATTTACTGTTTTACTTTTTCCTACTTTCTCAATTTTCAAGCTTGTGAGATATTTATTTTTTCCAATTTAGGCTTTAATGCTATAAATTTCTCCCTAAGAGCTATTTTAACTGTAACCCACACATTTTGATATGTTGCATTTTCATTTTATTAAATTCAAAATACTATCTTATTTCTCCTGAGATTTTTTCCAATTCATGACTTACTTAAAACCATGTTGTTTAATTTCTGCTTATTTATAATATTCCTTCCTTTCCCTTACTGATTTCCAGTTTAATTTCATTGTGGTTAGAGAACATACTTTGTATGCTTTCAGTCCTCTTCAATTTATTGAGTCTTGTTTTCTGAGCAAAATATATTGTGTTTTGGTGATTTCCTTCTTTTTTAGTGTACACTTATAAAGTATTCTGCTATTGGTGGTGGCGTTTTTATAAATGTTGGTTAGGTCAGGTTGATCATAGTATTTTTTGTAAATATGTATCATTACAGATTCTCTATCTACTTGTTCTAACAATTATAGCAGTGTACTGGAGAGGAGTTGTTGAATACCTCATGCTAATTGTGTGTTTATCCTTTCAGTTCTGTCAGTTGTGCTTCACATATTTGAAGCACTGTTCTTAGGTGCATGCATGTAGAGGATTGTTTTAACAAAATCTTTATATATTGATTCCTTTGTCATTATGAAATCCCCCTTTTTATTTCTGGTAGTATTCCTTGTTCTCATGGTTTTTTTTGTTTGTTTATTTTTTTTATCTGATGTTAATGGGCACACTCCAGATTTTCAGATTTTAGTAGGTAATTATAGGGAATATGTTTTCTGTCCTTTTACGTAGGTTCGGTTTTATAATTAAAGTTGGTTTCTTGACATAACATACAGTATAGTTTATATTCTTACATAAAATGACAACTTTTATTGAGGTTTTAGGTGAACCTTCTCACTTGGTATATTGTCTTTATTATTCACTTTAAATCAACCACTGTGCTCTTTTTGTTCTATCCCACCAATTCTTTGTCTTTTTTTTTTTTTTTTTCCTTTTTTCTACTAACTTTTGGGTTGAACTTTCTCATTTTCTTTCGGGCTCTTTGTAAATACAATTTTATAGACTTGCTTTATATTCGTAGATGAAGGTACAAAGTCCCTTGTAAACATGTGGAATAAATTGCCCACTCAAAAAAACTGTTTTTTTCTGTGACTTTATGACTGCCTCTTCCTTTCTTCATGATCAGGGAGAAAAAGGTATATAATGTGTGTGTGATTTTTAATTTTTTTTTTCTGAAGTAAATCATTAGGGATTACCTACCTATCAATGATTTTATTCCTAATACTCTCTTTATTTCCTTTCTTAGGAGTTAGAAATTAAGAAAATGGCTAAGATTGGTAATAAAGAAGCTTGCAGAGTTTTAGCCAAACAGCTTGTACATCTACGGAAACAAAAAACAAGAACTTTTGCTGTAAGTTCAAAAGTCACTTCTATGTCGACACAAACGAAAGTGATGAATTCCCAGATGAAGATGGCAGGAGCAATGTCTACTACAGCAAAAGTAAGTGGAAATTTTATATCCATACATTTATGGTTTTATTTAAGACATTTAAGGATTCAAAGGATTCAAATCAGATTTAAAAGTACCTCCTGATGTATATGTGGTACAGAATCTGTGTAATGTTTAGTAAAAGGAGTTATAATATGAGGTAATCCAGATAACTACTTCTAGAATTTTTAATTGAAGCATATTACCTTACAACATTAAATTAGTTTCACATGTACATAGATTCTTTATTGATATGTTTTACATTAAAATTTCTTATTTCAGGACATTCTGATTTTTCCAAGATCATGTGTAGCATCTAAATTTTTTAAATTGACTTAAAATGTTGTTTGCTGTTTTCCCTTAAATTCTTAGATTTTTGGTCTTATTTCATTAAGCTGTAAGTTTTAATTACTTAGTAATTTGCTCTTGATTCATTTTTATGTTTGTGTCAGAAGGACACATCATTTCTGTCAGAAGTATTTATCAGTTAATTTTATCAGGAACTTATGTTTAACTTCCAGTCTTTATATTTAAAAAAAAAAAATCTGTATAGAATTTAAAGGACTCTGAACTGTTTTTAGAGAGGCAGAGTTCGGTGCTGGGGTGGAAGGAGAGGGAGAGGATCTTAAGCAGGCTCCACATACAGCATGGAGCCCAACATGGGTCTCGACCTCACGACCCTGAGATCATGACCTGAGCTGAAATCAAGAGTTGGATGCTTAACTGCCTGAGCCACCCAGGTGCCTGATTTTTTATTAAAAAATCATAATGAGTCCCTGGATAGATATGAAGTACTATAAGGAATAAGAAGATATTTAAGACAAAAGCCCTGTTCTTACAGATTTTATTGTTCAGTTGGGGATGGGGTGGGAGGTTAAGCTATATCTGACAGGGAAACTACCTATTACATATATCAACATTGCTAAGTGTGTGCTAAGTTTCAGTGAACTGTACAGATCTTTGAACTGAATGATCTGAAAGACTTTGCAGAAGACCTAGGTCTTAAAAATACCACTACGTGGGAGCACCTGGGTGGCTCAGTGGGTTAAAGCCTCTGCCTTCGGCTCAGGTCATGATCCCAGGGTCCTGGAATCGAGCCCCACATCGGGCTCTGCTCAGCGGGGAGCCTGCTTTCCCCTCTCTCACTTCGCCTGCCTCTCTGCCTACTTGTGATCTCTGTCAAATAAATGAATACAAATCTTAAAAAAAAAATTACCACTAGGTGTTAAATATAAGGAAGGAGGAGTATGAATATGAAGACCAAGAGAAAAGAGAGCCGCAGAGGAAAGTAGGAGGTTCATATTAGAAAAATGGTATCTACAGTTGATTCTCATTATTTGAAGTAGTTAATGTTTTGTTAAGTTGGAAACACTCGATTAGTGAATATCAAACCATCACTCCTAGGGGAAATAGAGGGTTAGGTTCTTGTGAGCCTTTGGTCACAATGTTTTTGTCAACCAGCTTATACCTAAGGTTGTTTTATATGTTTCTGTTGAAAGACACCACAGTTAATAAATGTTGATTCATTAACATTGAACTGATGCCTAATCAAAGCTTAACATGTATTTTCTCCATGAATACATTATAGTTTCATGCACTTAGGAACACTACACAACACTTTAGTACTATGATTGAGGCTATTTTAGTAAAGGCAAAGTCACCAACAAAAGGTAGGTAGACCACAATAAGGATAGTTGTTTACAGTATGAGGGTTGAGACAAGGCAACACAGTGTCACCTTGTTAGACCTCAGCTGCAAACAAGCACGTTCGGCAATTCACATTTTTTGCTGTTCTCTACTTGTCCACAGAAGAACACAAAAGCTCTATGATACTGGTATGAGGTTACAAATACATATTAGTGAGTAGGCAGATCCACAAATATGGAATCCAGAAATAATGAGGAGCAACTATAATTGTGTTGTAGATTACAGAGCACATGAAAATAGAATTTATTCATCTTAGCTGCGGTAAGTGCAGTGACACCTTATGTTCTTTAAAAAAATAAAGGACATTTCAAAAATAGGAAGTTTCAATATTAGTTCTGTCAGTTAACTTACTCTTGATGGATCTTTGTCATTTTACAGAGAAAAATATAGTTAAGGACAAAAACTTGTTTTCCTTTTTTCTTTCACAAACGGAACTAAACATCTAATTGAGGAAAAGATCGTATGTGATGATCACATACTTGAGATGGGTAACCTTTCAATAATGTTAAGGGGAGAACTACTTATTTTGCTGTTTTTTGCAGGTGGTAGGCCAGGAAAAGGTACGGAATATGGTCCTACCTTAAAGGGATATCTGAACTAGAATTTTCACTTAATCTTTTTAGATACTTGTTAATTCAGCAAATATTTGTTTAGACCCTATATAGGTAGGAAGTACAGCAAATGATGGGGATGAAGTGGAAAGCAAAACCAGGCAAGGGTTTAAACTGTACGGTCTATTTCAGATTTTATTTATTTATTTATTTGAGAGAGAAATTGGGAAGAGGAACAGAGGGAGAAATAGAAGTAGACTCCATGCTAAGCTTCGAACCCAACACAGTGCTCAGTCCTAGCACCCTGATGAGATCGTGACCTGAGTTGAAATCAAGAGTTAAGTTGGACGCTTAACCAACCAACTGAACCATCCAGGTGCCCCTGTAGAGTCTATTTCAAAAACAGCCCATTTGAGAGGTTGTTTAGTGTGGTAATTAGAAATATATATTACTTGAGTTCAAATCTCACTTCTATTCATTAGCTTTTGGCGAGTTATTTTGCCCTTCTGTGCCTTCATTATCCGTTTTTTTTTTTTTTTAATATTTATTTATTCGACACAGATATCACAAGTAGGCAGAGAGGCAGGCAGAGAGAGAAAGGGGGAAGCAGGCTCCCCGGTGAGCAGAAAGCCTGATGTGGGGCTTGATCCCAGGAAGCTGGGATCATGACCTGAGCTGAAGGCAGAGGCTTAACCCACTGAGCCACCCAGGCGCCCCTCATTATCCGTTTTTAAAACAGGAACAGCGATGGCACCTAGCACATAAAAAAGATTTGTCAGGTTTGAATAAATGTCTTTTAATGTTAAATGTTATATATAAAAGTGCTTAGAGCAGTGTCTGAAACATAGTTAAGACTCTATAGGCATTTACTGCTTTATTATTATTATCATCATTGTTATTAGTATTAATTGCAATAATACTATAAGTTGCAAGAGAAGTAATATAACTTACATCAGTAAATAGGGAATTCCATCAGTAGTGAGGAGGATTTAACAGGAATATCTATTCTAATCAGGGGTGTCAGGGACGATTTCCCTAGGAAAGTGGTGAAATCTGAAGTGTTGATAATGAAAACAAATGGAGAAGAGCATGTGTAAAACAACATATGCAAAGGTCCTGTAGCAAGAGAAAGTATGGAACGTTTAAGGAAGTGGAAGATCAGTGTGGCTGGAGGGCAGTGTACACCATAAGACTAGCTTGTTAGAGTTCAGTGGTGTTTGGTCTCACAGTGAATTACAGATTTTGGCTTTTGATACAAGAACAATGGAATCCTACTTCAATGTCTGTGTGGGCTAGAGGGGGATGGGGAAAATCCAGTGTTACACTTAAAAGTTACTTTGGTATTAGCAAAGTTACCAAAGTAACTTTGTAGTATCCAAAGTTAGCAAAGTAACCAAAGTTACTTTTGCAGTAGATTGTATACAGATTGGGAAAAGATTGGGAAAAGACTGCTTAGTATCTTTGAAACTGATGTATTTTCTATTGTATAGTGTTTTTGGCCATAGTAGATAGCATTAATCTCTTTTAATGAAATAACTTGTGAATATAAAACATAAGAGGATTCTTTTCAGATTATTTCTATAAAACTCAGTGTTCTGTTCATTTCTTTAAAACATGGTTTAAAATATGTGAATGGATTAAGTGTGTATACTGTGTGTCCCCCTTTTTAGTTTAGACATCAAAAGCTTAATGAAAAAATTTTGTAAAATTTAAATTGTGATTCTTTTCAATTTAGGCATTACGTGCTTGCCATAGAGTAGGCAAATGTAGTTGTCCCATTTGAATAGCAATGGATTTTTTTGTTGACAGTGCTTTTTAATTTTTTTTTTTTTTTTGGCGTACTGTTCATATGAGTTCTTTCACTATGGTCTTTATTACATAAATGTTAAGCAGATGGTTTCCAAGTGAGTATTTCATTTTTTCTAGAATACTGAACAGTCTTATGTTTGATTATGGCAGTTTGTATATCTTTAGAAAGCCTGTATCTAATTTGGTTTGTTCTCTTTGGACTTATTTCATAGTAAAAATGTCACATTTATGTAGCCAACATGAATCTTTTCATATATTTAAAGACAATGCAGGCAGTTAACAAGAAGATGGATCCACAAAAGACATTACAAACAATGCAGAATTTCCAGAAGGAAAACATGAAAATGGAAATGACTGAAGAAATGAGTGAGTTTAATAACTTGTGATGAAATTTAGTTTTTTATCTTTAAATCAGCCAAGTTTATTTACTAGCAACCTCGTATTCTAATCCATAAAAGCACAAATGTTGAAAAAAGCAATGATACAGCAGCCTTCTGAAAAGATGTCTATATTATAACTCCAGTGTATTTTTAAATTTGCAAAATATAAGGCTCAAATCCTATCAAACTTTACTGGAAAGAAAAATATAAAATATGATATGCTATATCTTTATGCCATATTGGCCCCAGCGGTTTTACTTCATTGATGAGGGGACCAAAACCAACTTGTGAATAAAAGAACTCTTCATGGTATGAATTTGGTAGTTTCAGAGTTTTGTGTTGATTCTTTCATACTAGAGAAGATCCCTATTTCTGTTGGAGGTAGAGATAATGAAGTGCTTCTGTTCTCATTTTTTCCTTTTCCTTCCCGGAGTTATTTAATATTTAGTTTTCTTCTTTTTGATTTCAAGTTAATTTCATTTTGTAGAGGAACTATGGAGAACACAAAGGAACAAAGTTTATTTAAAAAATCTATTATCACACCACCCAGATATTTTTTTTTTTTAAAGATTTTATTTATTCATTTGACAGATCACAGGTAGGCAGAGAGGCAGGCAGAGAGAGAGAGGAAGGGAAGCAGGCTCCCCACTGAGCAGACAGCCTGATACAGGGCTCGATCCCAGGACCCTGAGATCATGACCCGAGCCGAAGGCAGAGGCTTTAACCCACTGAACCACCCAGGCGCCCCACCACCCAAATATTTAATTTTATTATTTAATTACTGTTAATGTTATATGTTTCTTTCCTGTATTTTCCCATATCTTAGTTAAATCATACTACATGTACAATTTTGAACCTTATCCTAATTTTAAAAAACATAATAGTATGATATACACATGTACTCATGACCTTAAATCTTCTCTGAAGTCTTTTTTTTTAATACTGTATAACATCAATATTAAATAACATCAGTCTTAATTTATTGAACCATTCTTACATTGGTCAGTAACATTGTTTTAAAATTTGTTGTGTATTTGCTAATCCTTTGATAAATGTTTCTATATTATTTTTTACTACATTTTAAAAATATTCTTAGAGTATTAACTTTTATAAGCCTTTTGGTTCATACCACATTCTTCCCAGAAAGATTATCCCAACCTTTATTTTACTGCTAATGAATAATCCTGGTCAACATTACTTAACATCGTTTGTCACAACTGACATCATTGTTTCTCAAAGGTTATTGTCTTATTGTTTTGCAACTATGTAGAGCTATGCCAGTTTAGCTCTGCTTAGCTGTCAGCATTTTAATTTAATGGCGTTTGGTGAACAAAATAGTGTACAATTAAATAGTATCTAATTAAATTACCAGGAATACTAAACTCACCACTGTTCAAGTATTCAATTTCAGAATATCTGTTTCCTTTTTAGGAGTTAATGTCAGTGTATGTGTGTCTTTGATAGTTCAGCAATTCTTTAGCTTTGACTGTGAATCTTTGCTTTGAAAAATAGGACTTTTTTGAAACATCATTAGTGAATTTTTAATGACTGTGAGATTGTCATTTATATAATGATCACAGTATCTAACGTGTATGTGATTTCCAGTGATGGCACAGGTGTGAGCAGATTTTAGAGGAATTAATTTTTCCATTAAGCTATAATGAAGAGGATCAATAGGCTCAAACAACTCGTTTCTGTCATAGTTCTCATTTGTATTTTAGTACTTTGCAAATGGGTCTGAAAGAGTAGTAATTGTTGGTGATTACTCATTTCTTCTATGACGTAGTAAAGTACATTAACATTAGTATTTTCATCCAAAGGTAAATTCAAGGTTTAAATGGATATATCTATTTCTAATTGAAATTTATATTGTACAGTACTACTCCAGAACTTGTTCACATTCCATTTTGGAAACAGGATCTTTGAAAAATCTGTATTTTATACACATACACACACACATTTTATATACATATGTATATGTATGTAAGTACATATATATAAATTCAAATACATAAATTATATATATATATAAAATATGGTTAATTTTGTTGTACTTTTTCCAAAAGCATCCTTCTTTGTTAATCCCTAATTATACTTCCCTGTTCTTTTCTCATCTATCCCCTTCTTTCATTTTTTCTGCAGCTACTTCTTAACTGAGTCCCTTATAAACTTTGACCTGTACTCCCTACCCTCATTATTGCTTTAATTGCATCTAAATTATTTTCCCAGAAACTTACCTCTGAGGATTCCAGTGAGATTCCTTTAGTGGCTTCTTGCTGACTATAAAGTAAAACCCCCACATGTAAATCAAAAGCAGTTTTCATGTCAGGCCCCTTTATTTTGCCAGTGAACATACTGAGGCCCAGAGAAGTAAAATGACTTTCTCCAAAAGTTGAATCTACACTAAGTGGAAGAATTGAAACTCTAATTGAAGGGTTAACATTTGCTTTTATTTCTTCAGAGATGATACTATGGGTTTTTTTTGTCCTTGAACATAATATAGCTTTTTCCAAATGTACTTTATGCTGTTGAGCTAACACAAAAAAATCAGGTTGTCCAGTCATGCTCATACTAACCAGAGATCTTAACCAGTGTCAAGCTTTATTAATTATATCAAGGACACAAGCAGTTAAAATGTACATGTGAAACAGGGAACATCCCAAATGATTCCCCAGATCTTTTTTCCCATCTCAAACATAAACTCTTTGACCCAGAATAATGGATACGCCTTTTCCATTCATACTCCTTAAATAAAAACACAACAGAAGAACTTGCCCTACTTGAGTGAATCCTTATTGTCTTCCACCAAGTCTTTACTCATTCTGTACTCTTCTATCGCTGTTTGGTCAAATCCTGTGCATCCTTCAAGGAGCACCTCACATGTACTTCCTCCCAGTTGGATGTACTCTCTTCCCTTTATCATCTTTCTTATTTATACTGATTATTAATTTCTTTTCTGCTTAAATGTAAAGTACCTGAGGTCTTCATTTTTCTCTGTCCATTAATTGTAGTTGTACTACAACTGCCCAGGCAGTTGTACTATACTACAGTTGCCCAGGCACTTTGTTTCAGAAGTAAATATGACAATCCTAACATGATACTTTCTATACAGAACCTTTCCCATAAATATTTTGGGAAGGAAAGGAAAGGAGGAAGAAAGGGATATAGTAGTAATAATCTTTGCAAGATTAAATTGGATGTCATTCTTCAGACAAGTTTAATAAAACATTGAACCTTGGACTTTGTTAGAATATTCTGCCTACATGTTGAATGTAAATTTAAGTTAAAAGTATAATTATAGATCTAAAAAGAGTAAATTGTCTCCCTAATATTTACAGGATATTTGATTCTTGAACATTATTCCATGGTCAGATTAAACAGCTACTAACTTGCTCAATGAATATAGTTTTTGGAATCATTACTTAAAAACTTTAATTTTTATCATTTTTATAATGGTTTATATTTATATATATTATATATATAAATATATATTTACATATATTTATATTATAATGATTATTTTAATAATAATATTTTAATTTTTATCATTATCATAACTTTAATTTTAATCATTACTTAAAAACTTTGGCTGCGAATTTCTTTTGTTGTTTATTAAAGACACATTTTTAAAAATCAGAGTAGACTTGTTTTATTATAGGATAATCTATGTTGCAATGAAAAGTTCTCCAGATTTCGTAACTCAAAAATGTGTAAGTGAACTTCACTAACTTTTGAAAATGACTTTTGTAGTTTGTTGGTTCAGCTAAGTTTGCCCTGGAGTAATATACAAATATGTGTACATACTTGGGCCACCTTCTAAAAATGCAAATCTAGGGACGCCTGGGTGGCTCAGTTGGTTAAGCGGCTGCCTTCGGCTCAGGTCATGATCCCAGCGTCCTGGGATCGAGTCCCACATCGGGCTCCTTGCTCATCAGGGAGCCTGCTTCTCCCTCTGCCTCTGCCTGACATTCTGTCTGCCTGTGCTTGCTCTCTCTCTCCCTCTCTCTCTGACAAATAAATAAATAAAATCTTTAAAAAAAAAAAAAAAATAAATAAATAAAAATGCAAATCTAACTTGAAATCTGTTTGATAGTAACTGTAATTTTGTTTCTCCCCTTTCCCTCAAGTCAATGACACACTTGATGACATCTTTGATGGCTCTGATGATGAAGAAGAAAGCCAAGATATTGTAAATCAAGTTCTTGATGAAATTGGAATTGAAATCTCTGGAAAGGTATGAATGTCTTCCATCCTCGGTCAGAAATCAATTCTACCAATTTTGTCACTTAAAGTTAGCTTTTGCTGTTAGAGGCATCTTTTTATATATTTGAATGACAAACGTTTTTGTAGTATATCTTTTGTGTCCTTGCCCAGATGTTTGATAATGCACATTTTTTTTTCCTTTTCCTTTAATATAGATGGCCAAAGCTCCATCAGCTGCCCGAAGCTTACCATCTGCCTCTACTTCAAAGGCTACAATCTCCGATGAAGAGATTGAACGGCAACTCAAAGCTTTAGGAGTAGATTAGTCAGAAAAACCATAATATTTTGCTTACTTATAATTATTTAGTATAAACCAGGCACAGTACAGATTCCTTTTACAAAACACATTTATTTGCAAAAATGAAGACCATGGAGCAAACAGTTGTTTTCTAACCCATGACTATTTTGAATCTTTTACCAAAGAATGACAAGGATGCAAAAATGGGAACAGTTTGGATTTTAATTAGAACTCTTTAGAAGTGATGATGTGTAAAATGTTTGACTTCTCTTCTGCATGGCATAGAGAAATTATATTCGTTACTTAGTGTTTATGTTCTGTCTTTTTGCAGTGAATACAAAAATCTTGTTAAAAGCCACTAGGCACCAACTAAAGAGACATGTAAAAATATTAGAAATATATCATTAATTCTGTATCTGTTGCTTGTCCTTTGTTAGCGATATGTAGTATGGCCATAGGCAGTTCAGCTGCCAAATTATTTTTAAATGATCCAAAAGAAGAGTGCTGTTTAAACATCTGTCCTAAAAACAGTCATGAGCTTTTCTTTTCTTTTTTTTCCTTTGGGAGAACATTCTAGTTGGTAAGTTTATTACCTTTCAAAATGTGCTTGGCACTTGCCTTAAACAGCACAAATATATTGTGCACATCTTTAAGTTATTTTAATGGACAGAAAAGACTTAAATTTTAAACCGAAATTAAGGCCTCTTAGAAAACTTATCCTGGCTCTCTTTTATAAAGCTTATGAAAGTGAATTGAATGAATTAGCAAAAACAGGCACTGAATTAATAACATTTTATAGTAATAAAACTGTATTTTGGTCTTTCTTCCAAGAACTGAGAAAACTTTCCCCATATAAGATATAATTTAATCTCTGTTTAATTTTGATCAATAATGTGTATATTGAACCCTCTGAATGGAAGCCATCCTTTTTAATTTAACACTACTATGACATTACTATGACAATACTTGACTTAAATTTTAAAATAAAAAATAGCATTTTTTTTCTTGGTAAATAAACTACAACTTTGTCAGAAATTATTGCCTAAATGTGTATTAATGTATTAGCAGTATTTTTTAAGGTGAAGTTGCTATGGTATTTAATGTATGTATAGGAAGTGAGAAAAAAGAAAATGGCAGATTAGTTAGGGATAGAATTTAGGATTAGATTTGTTTAAAAAAGTCACATTGTAATATATGGGTTCTAGCATAAAAACTGTAGAGATCAGATAGGTGTAAACTTGGTCAGCTAATGAGGATGGACATTTTGGTCTAATATCGACAATGTAAATCCCATTTTATGACAGGGTCTACATGTGGCATATGGATTGGTGGGAAGAATGTAAAGTTTATATTGTTTATAATTCATAAACCATTGTATGATGTTTAAAGATCAGGTCGCATTATTGGTAGTATTAAATAGTTTCCCTGACCATTGATGGGTCAAAACATTTTACTGGATTATAGAATGTTAAGCCAGAATTTGTTTTGATTCTTGGATGTACTTAATGATGCCAACTAACTTTATTTACTTTCTTGTTTACATGCAGGGGCTTTTGTTTTTAAAAATTATTTTGTTAAAAAAAATTCCAATAAAGATTTATTGCTATTATGCTTTTTTCCCTTATCTTTTACTCTATTATTGGCTTCTGCTAAATTAACATTTTTATGCATATCTGGTAATTCTTCAAAAGAATGATTTTTATTATTTTCCTAGAAAGAAAATTAGGTAACTGTCTTCTTTACATTTTAACAAACGTCATTTCTATGAATTAGCAGCTGATACAGGACTGATGTTTATGAATGGAGTAAGCCTAAGAATTGGTGGTTTCGCATGAAATTGATATGATGACTCCTTTTCTAGAACTTGCAGGGGATAAACATTTTTAAATATTATTTTTAAACAGGTAAGTCTTAGTGATTTCCTTTATTTTCAGTCAAGCATGGATACTATAGAAGGCTTTGGGACCCAAAGGAGAGAGGGGAGCCATTCTGATTTGGCTATATTTATAAAATGCTCCTGTGGTCCATTTTCACAGTCATAAATTTTATACTGTTACACTATCCTTTACTAAAAATAAAACTTATTTTCAGTCCTTAAATTAGAAAACAAGAATTATTATACATTGAATTCAATGAAAATATAGTTGACCCTTCAACAATGTGGGTGTTACTAGTTAGGGGCACTGACCCCATGCAGTCACAAATCCACACATAACTTTTGACTTCCCAAAAACTTAATTACTCATAGCCTACTGTTGACCAGAAAACTTACCAATAACATGTCAATTAACACATATTTTGTATGTTACCTGTATTATATTTTGTACAATAAAGTAAGATAGAGAAAGGAAAATGTTAAGAAAATCATAAAAGTAAATATATATATGGTACTGTCTATTGAAAAAAAAACTGCATGTAAGTGGACCTGCAAAGTTTAAACCAATGTTGTTCAATGGTCAACTGCACTGACTTTTTTTTTTTTTTTTTTGGCCTTGCTTTCCCTAACTTCTCTTTTTTGGCAAAAGGATTACTTTAACAACTGTTGTCAAACAAGAGGTTGCTAATAGAGTGTAAGAGAGCAGAGCAATGCCTCTGTTATCAAGAAGGATGCAGCCCAGTGTCACACTCTATTACTGGGTATAAAAGTCAGGGGTGAGGGGCGCTGGGTGGCTCAGTGGGTTAAGCCACTGCCTTCGGCTCAGGTCATGATCTCAGGGTCCTGGGATTGAGCCCTGCATCAGGCTCTCTGCTCAGCAAGGAGCCTGCTTCTCTCTCTCTCTCTCTCTCTCTCTCTGCCTTCCTCTCTGCCTACTTGTGATCTTTCTCTGTCAAATAAATAAATAAAATCTTAAAAAAAAAAAAAGATTAAAAAAAAGTCACGGGTGGTGGAGATTTCAGGGTATCAGAGAAGTGGAATGTGGTATGAAAATGTCAGTACTGATGATAATAATAGCTAGCCTTAGAAAACATAAAATGACCATCTGTCAGATGATTGTGTTGTGTAGACTACATTCTGTGCTCTTGAGAGGAGTCCCTGGCAATGGCAGGCCCAGTGGAAAGGGGTTCAAGATTGTGACCCTTTAAGACCAGAGATAATCTGGTAGCCTTGGGCTTTATTTTATTCAACCTGCACAGTGATACATATTTTATTACTTGCATTTGAGTGCCTTTAGGAGAGAACTGTACTCTCCCCTTAGCCCCAAGTACATCCCTTACTAGCTCAGTAGCCACACTTTTAGCCTGATCCCTGTGGGCCTAATTTAAATATGTGCTCCTATTTTAGATACTCCTTTGTTAAAACACAGTGTGTGTCTAGAGACCAATGATGGCTTCCTCCTTTGATGCCATTATTTAGGTTTTTGGAGCAGCAGAAAAATGGATCAGCTTTTCAATTTCCTCTCTGTAGAAATTGAGTCCTGTCAAGGGACTTAAGACCGTTCTTCCATACTTATTTCCTTTAAAAAGTCAATTGGATTGGATTCACCTTAGGGGAAGCCTGGGGATTGTAAAGTTTGATTTAAGGCACTCTAATTGTTGGAGCACCACACAACAGACAGTTCCCTTACTCCGCCCTGCCCCCCCACACTTCCCAGAACTTGAATGCAGGTGCACACAGACACACTGCTCCCATCCCTGATGGATGAAAATGGATCTAGTAAAAAAAATCTTTACTAAAATCTTTACTAGAAAAAAATCTTTACTAAAAAAATCCTGATGGGGGACGCCTGGGTGGCTCAGTTGGTTGGGCAGCTGCCTTCGGCTCAGGTCATGATCCCAGCGTCCTGGGATCGAGTCCCACATCGGGCTCCTTGCTCCTCAGGGAGCCTGCTTCTCCCTCTGCCTGCCATTCTGTCTGCCTGTGCTTGCTCTCTCTCCCTCTCTCTCTCTCTGATAAATAAATAAATAAATAAAATCTTTAAAAAAAAAAAAAAAATCCTGATGGATCTAGTAAATGAAAACATTTTTTTACTAGATCAATCTTTCCACCATTAGAGATGGAAAGGTAAATTTATGAATGAGTGACAACCACCTCTACCAGATAAAACTGAATGTATGAATTGTATAACTGACAAATCTGTTCTAATGGACTGTACTAAATTCCTGAAGATTTACCACTGAAGAGTTCACAACAACATAGAATGGCAAGACTATGACTAAAGTCAGCTTTGCCATTTATTCTCAAATAATATTCCCAAATTTGCCTCGGAAATTACATTTGCTATTTGTTTAATTGCAGTTTAGCACTCTAAATAACTTACCTATTTTTTATAAAAAGATCAATATCTATTAAAATATCTCATTAATACAAATACGTGAACAGTAAATACCAGTACACTTAAACTAACTTGTGAATAAAGATTTGCTATTTCAATATTAAGTATTGATTCAAAATAATTCCTTTTAAGGAGAAAAATTACTTCCCAATGTTTGTTGTATCTAAACTGGAATGACCTTATGGGTGAATGTCTGATAAGATTATGATCATATATATATGTGATGATGATAACAGCATACATACATGCTTATTTCTGATTAAAGATTAAACGTTTCCAGCAGATTCATAAAGAGCAAAAAGTCACTACTCTTATTTTGCATTACATTTTGTTTCTACATGCATATTTGCATTTTTTTGTATGTATATAGGATGTATATATGTTTGTATATACATCCTATCCCTCCCATTTGCAAACTAAAGAATCCCTTTGCAATCAGTGTGTGTGGTAAGCTGGTGAAGTATACAGAGAAGGAACTGACATATCTACATGGCTGAATAATTTGGAATTTACTCTTGAATAATAAGTTTTTGTATATATATATTTTGTTCAGCATTTCCTGGGTGCTAGATGTATACTTAAGCATAGATGATTAAGTCACTGAAAAAGATCTCTTTTTGTTAATAACACATCAGAATTTCTCGTCTTCCAATTCGTGGTGATTATGTGTGCATGAACACATAAGATCTATAGAGATTATGACCTGTACAATGCTTGGTCTTAAATTAATATAAAAACCATGATACTGGACAGTATAACTTATTCAGTACGCATTCTAAATCAGTAATAAAAGTTGGTCTAATTATTTCCATTTGTGTTATATAAAATAAGTTAGATAAACATTGCCAGCAGATTATTTTAAATGCAAAAAAGGCCACTTAGATATTACCTTATAGTTTGCTTCTACTTACTTGCAAGTTTCAAAGAAGTGCATTCTTATAAATTAAATAAATATGTTCCTTGGATTTAATTCCCCAAATTTAAATACTTAATAAGTCAAGCTTTTTCATCAATAATAAATCATACTCTAACCAATTAAACCAAAATGATAGTCTTTTTTGATAGGATTGCAGATGATTTTCTGGGTTGTGAGACTTAAATTATGTTATTAAGTTAGGCACCCTTCAAGTTCATAGCAGTTGTTAACAGCCCACTCCTTTGTTGATTTAACAAAGATAGTATGCCCAGTAGGCGCAAACACTTTCCCGGGGAATGGAGGAACAAAGACAAACAAACCAGGTATCATTCTTGCGCTGTTGTAGCTTACAGAAGAGCTGTTTGGGGTTCAAGAATCCATAAAAGATATTTTCTATAAATAAACATCAAAAAAGCTAAATCTCTGGGAAGAATAAAAAGATAAAAAGTGTCGCTTCTGATTAAGATTTATTTCTAGGGGCGCCTGGGTGGCTCAGTGGGTTAAGCCTCTACCTTCAGCTCAGGTCATGATCTCAGGGTCCTGGGATCGAGCCCCACATCAGGCCCTCTGCACAGCAGGGAGCCTGCTTCCCCCTCTCTCTCTGCCTGCTTCTCTGCCTACTTGTGATCTCTCTCTCTCTCTCTGTTGAATAAATCAATAAAATCTTAAAAAAAAAAAGATTTATTTCTAAATGCACGAATAAAATTCAAAGGCACCTCTGGCTCTTAAGTGCAAACTATTCAGTTCAAACTATTAGAGCTGATAGTAAGCAGGACATTGGTTAATCAATTTTCTAATTTATCTTCTGTTGTGATATTCTTTACTTGGCATTGTGACTGAAATGTTAAAAAGCTAATAAACAGCCTTTGGAAAAGGAATCAGACTAGAAGACCACATGCACACTGTGTGTGTGCGTGTGCATGTGTGTGTCTGTAGATAGAGCCAGAGGGAGAGAGAGAAAGAATGTGAGAGGATCACTGTTTTATTCCTGTTGGTATCTTTGGTTGAAACATGCACAGTTTGGCTTCAGAGAATAATTCCTTTAAAGAAAATAATTCATCAATATTTAAGTTGTATTCTCTTAAAAAAGTAGAAAAGCTTCTGTAAAAGTTACTGATATAAAATGATTTTTGAAGCCAACCAAATAACTAATTTCTATTTTCGTTGGAGAAGAGAAAGGAATGAAAAACAAAAAATTGGCTGTCACACAATAATAAATTTTATCTGCATTCAAGATGTTCCTTAGAAATAGTAAATAAACTCTGATTAAGACTTGTTTTCACCCGTTTTTCTCTCTGCCTTCGATTGCAAAACCAAACTCTTACTACTTCTTTCTCAAGATTCAGTTCTTCAGCCATTCGCATGATCTCTTGAGAGGAAGGTTTATTCTGTTCTCCGAAGTGCCTCTCCAGAGCATCTTTAGCAGCAATACTGAGGGGAGGGGCGTAGAGAAAGAAGGGTGAGATGATAGTGTTTTTATGATGTTTTGGCAGATCAAAATTAAGTAATGTTGAATATACTAAATATCAACATTAATACCGTTTAAAGACTTTGAAAACCCTTCCAAAGCGTCAACAAAGCTAAATATGCAGTCTGTAGAATATTTAGATGCTTGTCTTAAGCAGGGTATGCTGAGCCAAGTAACAAGAGGAAAGTAGTAAGGTGTTCTGGGCTTTCTGTATTTATCCCACTTTGTGCCACTAGAGGGCACTGATTTCCTGAAAAGGAAATGAACACTGGTGCAGGCATTTCTAAATGTCTCTCAGAAATCATTTGTTATTTACAATAGACAAAGTGTTCAGTGAACTCATTGACCAAAACAAAACCTGTATTTTAGAATTTCCTCTGTACTTTTCACACAAATTACCAAAAGATCAACAATCTTTCTGGTATGAAATGCAAGGTATCATGTTGGACTTTAAGAGACTGAAACACTGATGACTAGTTTTGCTGTTTTTAATAACATAGATACTAAGTTGCCAGAGCAAGATGTATCGAAAAGGACAGCAGAAATGATCATTCTTTGTAAAAGTGATTGTTCAGTTTGTATTTTATCTAAGACTTGTAGAGCAAGTGTTCTTGAATCAAATAACCTACTGTTCTATCAAATGTTAAGAATTACTAGCTCTCCCTTTCTCACTACTAAATTACTAAATTATGCTTTTTCACCAATCTTGTTTTTTTCAGTTGACTCTACTCACCATACATTTATGTTTTGTTACCTATTATTATCCTCACTCTTCTGTTTATATTATATATTCCATCTCCTCTGAATGTTTTAATATCTCAATACCTTATTGTTGTTCTTCGCTTCCTTTTTCTTTCATTTGCTCCCACTTTTTCATTGTACAAAGCTGTAATGTGGGAAAAGAGAAATGATTACAAAAACAAAGCAGGTTCAAAATAAAAACAATCAGATTTGAGTTTCAAATTTTCTTTGTAAAGCGATGCAAAATAAAGTCACTATACATTTTTGTCTTAGATTTTTACACTCTACATTATTTTATAGTACAAGACCAAGATACAAATGTTAATGCAGAAATATTAACTTTGCATAGACAACTGTCTATTAGTGATATTCTGACCATACTTTTCTTGGAACACTTGCTTTAAATGCTTTCAAGCCTTGCTTTTTATCCAGCCTTCTCATTAGTTGAGTAGATAATTTTATTACATTAGCAATTGCTTCTGTACTTACTTGGAAGACTGGTGTGCACAAATGCTCTGGTTACAGTAATATCGGGTTATAAAAATTCATGTATGATCACTACAGTACGAACAGAGCCAGAAAATCTGGATGTGTTAAAAAAAAAAAAAATCATTTCACCACTTCACGCCTCTGCCACATTATCCAGAAAGCGTCCTTATGCAGCTTCTTTTCTCACTATATTTACCTTCTCAAGAAACTCATTTCTGTACATGCATGAGCTTCCCTCTTTTCGGGAATATGAAACATTTATTTTTCATCTGAAAGAGAAAAAAGCCAACTAAACTGCAAACCTCTCTGCTTTAGCTGAAATCCTAGCAAGGTAGCCATCGTTTTTAGGTTAAGACATCACAGAGCCTATAACTTCAGTACCTCCTACTTGCTCAGCTTCCTCCAGCCATTTAGATAATATTGCTTTTAGCTTGCATGCATTTTTAAAGCTGAGCTGCAGGTTTTCGAATCGGCAGATAGTTGTTTGACTGAATTCAGAGCCGTGCACAGCTGCCAGGGCTTCCCCGACGTTGGTTTGGGTGTAGCCTGTGAAAGGGCAGGAGAGATCTGTTAGCTTGAGCTCTTCTAGAAGCATTCATTTTGGCCGGTTATCACAGAAATTGTGTCCTTCTTCATCAACTATTACATATTGCTTTAAAGCATATATTCATTGGCAATTTAGAATTGCTTAGTAAGTGCAGTGCAGAATTGCTCAGTACTCTAAAAAAGACTTCGTTATTTTTTTCCAGAAGTCAAAATTATTCAGACAGGAACCCCTGCCATTCACAATATTTAGTGAAACTGGATAGATATGTCATAAACATGTTATATATAAGATACTTATAAATTCTTTCTACTATTATTAAATATCTGATACATGCTCAACAATATAGTATATTAAATATAATGCATAAGTTACAATGATATAAATATTTTTATCTCAACTGTAAGAGTATAAAATTCAACTATATTGTTAAAGGGTACCAAATAAAAATAAGAATTATGCTGACTTTCCCTGAAAATGTGTTTATTATGACAGTGGGATCACCCAATAATTTACATGTATTTCTGAGCATATTCATTTTATCATTTGGTAATGCTTCTATCTTCAGGCCGAAGCTCTGTTCAGATTGTCCCAAAATATTTTTAGAGTACAGGTTAGTATCAACCGTCAACACAGAATTTGAAATACAGCCATATGAATAGCAAACTGAAAATGGCTCTTACAAAGATGCCCACTGCTCTGTTTATTCCATATAGTAACTGCATATTAATTCAGGGCCTAAAGCTATATATACCTGTATGCATAAAACAGCTACGTACAATGCCCATCAATAAATATCATTACAAAATTACCTGTGCTTCATGCCACAAGTGCAGACGGTGGAACTATCATTTTCAATCCATTTAAAAGATACACTACTTCATGAATTCAAGTCAAGGTTAATAATTATAGTTATTTTATGTTAAAAACACTATTGAATAGAAAGTGTGTGAACAGACAGTTCGCAGAGAATTACAAATGACTGTAAAACACATGAAATAACACTTTTCAATCTTCACTCATAAATTTAAAATGAAACCACAAGAGCATGTGGGTGGCTCAGTCAGGTAAGCACTGGACTCTTGATTTCGGCTCAGGTCATGATCTCAGGGTCACAAGATGGAGCCCCATGTGGGGCTCTGCACTGGATGTGGAGCCTGCTTAAGATTCTCTGTCTCCCTTTCCCTCTCTCCTACCACTTGGACGCGCTCTCTCTTCCCTTCTCAAGAAAAACAAACAAAAAACAAAAACAAAAAACCCAAAAACCTACTGCAGGAACCACTTTGACCTATCTGATTTGCAAAGATCCAAAAGATTAGACCATAGTTTTCCTTCAATAATTTATTCTATGTGCTGCCAGTCACTGTTCTAAGTGCTGTGGATATGCTTTTAAGGAAAAATAAAAATGGATAAAGAAAAAACTGCTGCTTTCATAAAAATTATATTCTAAGGAGTTTGCCAAGAGACACTCACGGTGGTGGTAAAATTTGGCATAACCTCTATATAGACCAATTTGATAACATCTATCAGAATTACAAATACACGTGCACTTTAAGAAATTGTGTATATTGGGGCGCCTGGGTGGCTCAGTGGGTTAAAGCCTCTGCCTTCGGCTCAGGTCATGATCCCAGGGTCCTGGGATCAAGCCCCGCATGGGGCTCTCTGCTCAGCAGGGAGCCTGCTTCCTCCTCTCTCTCTGCCTGTCTCCCTGCCTACTTGTGATCTCTGTCTGTCAAATAAATAAATAAAATCTTAAAAAAAATGTGTGTATTTATACAGGTACAAAATGCCATCAATGGAATGAATCATTGTAGGGTGGTTTTTAACAATGTAAGATTGGAGACAACATAAATTTATCATCAGTAGGGGACTGGTTAAATAATGTATTCATGAAATGGAATTTGATAGACCTATCTAAAAAATCTCTCTAAAAATTAATAAGGAAAGTTCTATCAGATAAATGGTTAAATAAAAAAAATCTGAAGATATATAAGTATTTGCTTATATGTGCAAACGGTATCTCTGGAAGGATGCAAAGAAACCAACAACATTGATAAACAGGAAAGACAAACATAAAAAATACATTTCACTTATACCCTTTATGCCTTTGAATCATATGAATGGCTCATCTGTTCAAAAAAGTTCAAACAAAATAGGGAGAAAAACAAGCACTTCAAAGTTAATCTTGAGGTAGGTAAATTGAAAAAAATATCAATTTAAAAATCTATGTATTTAGGATATATAGAATTAACGAGGAAATAAAGGATTTTTTTTGTAGGATTTTCATAATTGGACTAACTTAAATCCACAGCACAGATGTAGAATGAGAAGTATCGTGGACTTCTGAGCAGAGAATAAGAGACTGACCAGTACTATCAAGGATTTGCAGACCAAGTTGTACGCCCATTACCCTTAAGAAGTGCATACCTAACTTAATTCTTCTCACTTTAAATTCATTGGCAAACTTCTCGAGTTCTCGGATTTCTGGAGAATCCATGTCTATTGGCTCTTCAACCAATTTACTTTTCCGCCTGAGTTCCTGCTTGAAATCAGTGACTGTGGGGTCCTCTGCCAGGAGAGGCTGGTGCATGGGAGGAAAGCCATGACTCAAGGTATGGTCAGGAAACTTATAAAGACAAGGTGTTAAGCTACCTGTGAATAAACAAAGAAAGAGAAAGAAAAGGGCCATTTGTAATTATCCGCCATTTCTATACAAGCAAAAGTTTTGCACCTTAGAACCCATTATTCCCCTGCAGCCATCACGATTCTACAAGGTTAACTGACATTCAGCCGTCTGAAATGGAAGTCAGAGTAGCTTAGTATAAATGTGGTTATTTCGTTTCCACCTTCCTCAGAGCAGTGAAAACAAAAATAATGCCAAAGAGCAAATTCTCTCAGAAGTATGTTTTCCATTATTTTGTTTTCTCTTAAAAGACACCTGTTCCTGTGAATCTGAGGTTCAACTGAAACCCGGATGTTATGTTTTCACCTCTGTTTTAATTCATTACACAATCTGTGATGTTTATTATAATCAAGGCATATGGTTAAGTGCTATGCTGGGAAGTTTTCTTAGGATTCGAAAATGGACTTTATGATATTAAGAAACTCCATGGTTTTATCAGCCAGTGCTTAATTTCAAGGGGAAATAATCATGTCTTTTTAAAAATTGAATGAAGGCAGGTAAAAAGAAAAGTATGAGAACATAAAGTACACTAATATGCTTAAATAGATTCAAGGAGTGAATAGAAAAAAGTAATTTCTAAAGTTCTATTAAAAAGTCAGCATCAAGATTTCTTTAAAAGTATACAATATAATGGAATCATTTCTTGGTTATTATTTAAGAAACAAAAGTAAGTGACAGGAAGGGTGTAATTCTAGATATGATGGGCATTTACCCATAAATGAAACATTACATCAGTTGATTGAGTTAAATGATAAATGACCAAAAAAGATCTAATTCTTAAAAAAATTGCTTCCAGGTTTCATTCTTTACTAGAAAAGAAGAGTTTCTCAATTGGGGACATTGGCTAGAGGATAGCATAAGCCAAATTTCCATACATTTTATTTCTGTTTTCCTCATCAATATATCACATTTTTATTGGTAGAGATTTCACTTTGATTTATATTAAATGACACTTGTATAACCAACACATTTTAATATAAATAGAATATTTGGTAATTATTCATTTTTCTTATGATTATAAATAAATATTTAAACTAAAAATAAATTGCTATAGGATATAGGCAATAATCATTCTTGAAAACACTGCAAAAATTTATCAAGTTTATGCTACCTATTAATTCTCTATAAATTTTCTCTATAAATTTTAATTCACGAATCAAAGACATGAGTAATAATGTAGTTTTCCAGAATATATAAATCTTACATTAATATATCAATATGTAATGACCAAAGAATAGTGTAAGTCAGCAAATTGTTGGCTTGTATTATTTATATGACAATATGTAATTATAAGGTATACCCCTTTCCAATAGACTATATTTTTTCTGGAAGAAAAGTAAATATACAAGTGAGGGGTTAAACAAAATAGCACAAAATAAATTCAGCTGATGTGAAAAATATGTGAAAGAAATCATTTCTGTCTAAAAAAAAAAAATCCATGCTACTTTTTACAAACCAATATTATTGTTTTACTTTTTAAAAGTCAGTTAATCGTCCATTTTATGCTTTAGTGGGTAGTATATTGATCAGGCCAGATACCATTTTTAAGAGAAGTTTTTGAATTTTTAATTCATTACATAGTTTAACTTTTGAAAATGGTTATTATTAATTTGGGGGTTATTTTCAGCTTTCTATTCATTTTGGATTTCTGCTAGTTGAAGTAAAAGACTAACCTACATTAAAAGAACACTGATCACATTTATTTTAGCGTTTATTTGATATTTATCTCAAGATTTTGTTTTCACTTAGGCTTTCAGACTTGGATGTTAGATATATGAAAAATCTTTGCTTCTTTCATGATTCAAAAATACCACATGCCACTTAAGACACTTAACGATGAGCTACTCTGAGAAAGACTAAAAGCAGTGAGCAAAAATGAGGCTGCTGGGTTTTTTCTCTTTCTTACTGTATTTTTTTTTAATTTGAAGTACAGTTGCCACACAATGTTACATTAGTTTCAGATGTACGCCATAGTGATTGAACAACCCTCTATGTTATGCTCTGCCTGCTGTAAGTATGGCTACCATCCATCGCCAGATGATGCCATTAGAGTATCGTGGACTATGGTCCCTGGGCTGTACCTTTCCAACCTGTGACTTGTTCAGTCCATGACTGGAAGCCTGTATCTCCCACTCCCCTTCACCCATTTTGTCTGTTTCTCCACCCACTTTCCTCTGGCCCCCATCGGTTTGTTCTTTGTACTTATGGGTCTGTTTCTACCTTGTTTGTTCATTTGTTTTCCTTTTTAGATCCCACATATAAATGAACTCATATGGTATTTGCCTTTCTCTGACTTATTTCACTTAGCATAATACCCTCTAGGTCCATCCATGTTATCACAAATGGCCATCAAGAGAGGGGGAGGAGGGGCAAAGGGAGAGAGAGGAAAAGAATCTGAAGCTGGCTGCATACCCAGCATGGCATCTGACCTGGGGCTCGATCTCCCAACCCCGAGATCATGACCTGAGCTGAAATCAAGAGTTGGATGCTTAACCGACTGAGCCACCCAGGTGCTCCCTCTCATTCTTTATTTAAGGCTGAGTAATATCTCTCTCTATATATGTGCACACTACTGTTTGATTTTTGCACATTTAATGTATTTTAAGGCATTTTAGATAACTCATTTAACCTATGTCAAATTATTTTTATTGTCCGTAAGTAGTTTGTTACATATCTTTTATATGATAAGCCATAAGTTCTGAAGTTGTTAGCAATCTTGGTCACTATTTTCAATTTCTCTTGCTGACCATAGTCACACACCACGACGAATCTTCCATGTGATACTTTGTGCTGTATTCATTTCACATTTGTCATCTTCTTAGCCTTATATAAAAGCTAGAAAGAATTTTTTTTCATTCACAACTTAAAATTTAGAAAATTTAGGTAAAAGGCAATAACCTCCCTTGGGTGCCACAATGAGTCAACGATATAGTTGAAACCAGAATTGAAGTCCAATGATCACTTCAATAAACCACATCAAAACAAAAACCTCATTCATTTTTCCGGCAGTCTGTCCTCAGGTAAACCAGATGACTTTCTTTTAAAGACATCTGCAGTTTAAACACATTTGGCTACATTAAACAGATGATTTCAGACAAAAATATTATAATTATTAAAATCTTAGAAGATAGTCACCTCTATTTCTGGAAAATTATAAATGTAGTTTATACATTGTAAACACTCTGGGGAAAAAAAAAATCAACGTTTAAAAAATAAATTTGAACACAAGTCCATGAGAAGAGCACAGAAGACGCCATGTTCAGAGGTTTGGTGTCCGGAGCAAAAAGGAAAACACGATGTGTGATACATTTGTATTTTTCATTCAGTGACTATATCCATAGTTATGCACACAGACATGGTTTTCCTGGAGCTAACCAGCCTTGAACAGAAATTCATGACAGTCACAGGCACAGCCAAACAAATGGCAGTGTCTATCCCGTGATCATGTATTTGGGGGAGAGTGGAGAGTGACTATGGTATGGTAACTATGGCAAAATAGTTTTAAAACCTTTCTAAGGCATGGATTATTGAAAAAGAAAAAAAAAAAAGAAGAAGAAGATAAAAGCAGCAGGGAGTCCTGTGCAGTAGAGGTCTCGTAAACCATTTCCAAAACATTGATAAAGCAAAATTATCTGTAAGCCTCAGAGAAGCACGCAGTGAAAGAGCCTGGAAGCGTTTGCACATTATTTATAGCCCAAAGTATATGTTCACATTGTGGATTAATCCACCAAAGCCGTTCTCAATGGTGTGTATATACTTCTGTGTGGCAGAAGTGGGAGAAGAGGTCAATCTTTTCAAGCAGGCCATGGGGAGGCAGAGGTGGCTGGCTCAACACTGGGGCCTTGCCCCATGTAACTGCCAACATCTCTGAGATTATGGGCAGGCAGGGTGGGCAGCCCGCTGAGCAGGTTTCCCAACTTCACCCACCTTCGGAAACCAGAGAACAGAATCAATTTCAGATACCCAAGAATTAGAGTTTCCGGAGGGCTTTTTTTGTTGTTGTTGTTATTTTAATGCGTGTTTATCTAGAAGAACTTTTGAAGAGCATTTTTAATTCACTCTAGGCTGTTGAAGGGTCTAAATTCTCAGGAATGAAGGCATAGAAGACATTCAGTTGGAAGTGTATCGAAAGAGAAGATCATAGGAAAAACCAGGTAGAGCTGGTACAAATCTGCCACAAGCCAGCTTCAGCGGAGTGGTGGCTCTCACCACAACTCAGCCACGAAGAGGCTGAAACTATTTGCAAGGAGGAGGATGGAACTAGAGGGTATTATGCTAAGCGAAATCAATCAATCGGAGAAAGATAATTATCATATGATCTCACTGATAGGTGAAATTTAAGAAACAAGACAGAGGAGCATATGGGAAAAGAGGAAAAAATGAAACAAGATGAAACCAGAGAGGGAGACAAACCATCAGAGACTTAAACAAACTGAGGGTTGCTGGAGGGGAGGGGCGGGAAGTGTTGGGGGGATGGGCACTGAGGAGGGTGTATGCTCTGGAGATGGACACTGGGGAGGGTGTATGCTCTGGAGAGTGCTGTGAATTGTGTAAGACTGAAGAATCACAGACCTGTACCCCCAAAACAAAGAACACATTATACGTTGTCAAAAAAGAACAGAAAGATATATTTAAAAATTAATAAAAACAATGTGAAACACAAGGGTGTATGTCTAAAAAAAAGAAAGAGAGAGACGGAAACTCAGAGAGGTGAAGGGACTTGAACAAGGTTTCTAATTAGTTCATGGTGCGACTAATTCATTTTTCCCAATTAGTCATTCTTTTCAGTGTGTCCACTCCTGGACTATAAGACACAGTGGATTCATCTGGTAACTGCAAAGTCCTCTCTCTCAACCTTAACAAAAAATTAGTTATAGCTCTTATTCATTCAAGGAAATGCTCAAGCTTAATGGAAGCATCAGACTGTAGGTTCTAAGGTTGCCACATTAAAATAAAGCAATTTCATACGCTTTGAAATATAGGTCTTTCTGTACCTTTCCTTTCATATGGCATATGTGACAATGAACCTGTCCTTGTTTAGATGATAAGATACTTCTGTGAATTGTGTGGCAGTGGCTGATTTGATGAATGCTTTGAGACTTCTTGGAAAATTCTAATGACATTAACCAGGTTTCTCTTGTGTATTTTATACCTTTGCTCTCTTATATTTGGATTCCTGTGTTTTATAACTCAATTTGTATAGCCTCTCTGGGGATAAAGACAGGAGAGTTCAGATTCTCTGAGGTTTAATCTGCTATGATGCAAATTCTCACACCAAACATATGTCAAAATAGTGACATTCTAACCAATAATAAAGCGTTATCACTCTCAAAAAATATTCAAATATCATCTCTATGCTTGCCATGGTGAGTTTTTCTTCCAGGGACAACATATATTTGCTTTTAGAACTACGGTGATACATTCAAATCTTAGGATAACCATTTTTGCTCCTCATGATACTAACCACCCAGGCTTTGGGGCACTTTAAAGGGCTCTTCTGGGGGCCTCTCCTTTCCAGCTGCAGTGAGAAAGTGGGTTTGCTGAGTGCCTGCTGAGAGGACTTGGTAATATAGCCCGAGCTGCCCGTAGACTCTCATTGTGAACCCGGGCCCAGAAACAAGAAACATGTCAGAATTCTCAGGCCAGCTGCAAATTCACTAGGCTAATAGCCAGTGGCCTTCATCTGGTGGGGAGGGAGGTGGTAGCAAAAACCATGTTAAAGTATTTGGGGGGGTGCCTGAGTGGCTCAGACAGTTAAGTGTCCCACTCTTGATTTTGGCTCAGTTCCTGACTCAGGATTGGGATCGAGCCCCACATGAGTCTCTGCACTGTGTACGGAGCCTGCTTAGGATTCTCTCTCCCTTGCCCTCTGCCCCTCTCTCACCAACCCCCACTTCCTTTTCTCCCTCCCTCTCTTAAAAAAAAAAAAAGATATTTGGACTGTGACTGATGTTACCTTTGTGCTAACCTCAATCCATGGCTGCCTGTCACTGGGTTTAGAAGGAGCCTAAATGCAGAGCTGAGTTTGTGGGAATTACTGTGAATGAATAGCAAGGACTCCCCTCCAAGAGACAGCAGCACACGGCCACGTGCTCGTCATTCCTATGTTCATAATCAAAATGTAGTGTGGGCCACAAGAAGCATTTTTCCTGCCCCTCTAGTGGCTAAATGCACAATTTACTATTTTTATAATGAAAGTAGTTTATCATCAAAAAGGGCTACTTTCATTAACCATGAATACTGATTAGCTATTAAATATATGAATCATAAATGATCAGTTTTCAAAGGGGAAAATATGGTTGTCCCTATTTCATAATTATTAAAAAAAAGAGACACTAGGACTTACAGGTCAGTCTTCATTTTACTATAAAAGTGAGAACACTAGTTTATAAAAGAATGCTGCATGGTAGGATATAAGTGAAGCTAATTTATTCTGGAATATTTTAATTTTAAAGTTTTAGTGTTTTATTTAGTCTCAAACTGAAAAATATGGAGAAATTAAATGCCAGTGAACTAATTTTTTATTCAGTTTTATTTCAAATTTATAGTCATAGATCCATTTTTTTCCTATCACTTATTATGGATGATAACAAGACACAGCGGTGAGAAAAGATTTCCCTATTATATGATTCCTTTATCTAAAGCTTTTCTCTCTCTCTCTCTCTCTCTCTCTCTCTCACACACACACACACACACACACACACTTATTTTCTCACAGAGCCCCAGTAGTTTTTTGTCACTCATCAAGTTTCTCTCCCTGCTGTAGCAGTGAATATAAAACATCAAAGAATAGCTAAAAAAAAAAAAAAAAAAAAAAAAATTAGGTGAACAAAATTGTGTACTTTATTAAACCATCAAAATCTTTTTTTTTCTGGCCATATCCTAAAATTGAGTTATAAATTTTGTTCTCAATGGATTAGGTCAAATTTTCCTCTTCTTTAAGGAACGTGTTATCACTGCCTTCATACAAGTATCAATAGATAATTAACCTTGATCTACTGATGCTTTATTTATCTAGAGGAGGAACATAAGTAACTTTAACTCTTCAATCTCATTTAAGACAACTCTGAGCTGCCAGAATTTCAAATGAATATCACTGAACCCACTGCAACTGACTCTTAGCTTTCAATGTCTTATTTATCTTTGGACCACACATCCAGAAGAAATATTGCACTGAAGACGTTTTATAAATCTGTGCTGTCTGCTTTGGTAGCCACAGGAAGTTAGTGAGCCCTTCAGATGTGGCTAGTGCAACAGAGGAACTCAATTTTAAATTTGACTTTATTTGAGCTAATTTATGTTTAAATTTAAATAATTTAGGGGAAGGGAGGGAACACTGAAGGGGAAGAGATCAGAGAGGGAGGTAAACCATATGAGACTCTTGACTCTGGGAAACAAACTGAGGGTTGCTGGAGGGGGGTTGGGTGGAAGAATGGGGTAACCTGGTAATGGGCATATGGAAGGCACCTGATGTGATGAGCAATGGGTGTTATTCACAACTAATGAATCATTGAACATTATATCAAAAACTAATGATATACTATATGTTGGCTAATTGAATTTAAATAAAAAAATTTGAAATAACCACATGAGATTAGTCACTGCTGTATTATTACTGAATCGAATCCACTGATAACATCAAGTGACAGTCAGCCATTTGATAGTCATCAATTAGAGTAAAAATCATACAAAGCAAATAAAAGAGTTAAGCACAGAAGTTCAGGTCTATGGAGAACAGGGGCAATGAGATTTAATCATTATGATCACTGAATGCATCCCACTATCAGGGAACATTTCAATAAATAGTGGTTTACCAGCAATTTCCAAAGTTAAGAGATGAGAATTTCATGATACGCTCTGGTCAAGATTCCCTCAGACCCAAGAAATCCATCTAAGTGTTCCCAAACTCAATCTCTATAGGCAGATAATTTTTCTTACCTGCCATCACTCCATAGGTCGATGGCTGGTTTCCATAATGACAGGAAGGAACAGAATAATGAAGTCCCGTTGCTGTGTTTCCCAACGTTGTCACCGAGAAATATGTGCACAAACATTTAGGAGTTTGGATCAAAGACAAAATAGACGGGACTGGTAAGAAAATGTATGAGGATTCAAGATACATTCATTTCATTGCAAAAACACACATTTATGTGATTCTTAAAGTTATATGGCATAGTTCGTTTCTCTCTTAATGGAAATTCTCTGATGAGTAGATTAAAAGCAGGAATCAAAGTTCACCTCAAGTAATCAGATCATAAATCATCAGTGTGGATGATAGCATTCATTAATTATGCTGCACTCTGTGAAGGGGTGACTGACCAGTTTGGATGTTGGCCAGTTGGGAGTTGCAGAATTCTTGTAGGTTCCATCTCATATAAACATTACAATAAACTGACTAGAGGAATAATCTCTTTAAATTCTTATGTAATATGGTAATATGGAGTGGTCTTTCTCTGGAAGAATGAATAGAGAAATCAACTCTTGAATAATCTTTATTTTTGCTTATTCTCCTAACAATTTCTTCTATCCAAAAGAAAATGGCCAAGCAACTAGCTTCTAATTGGATACAATCATAAAAATCCCAGTAAATTCAGAGGTTTATGAAAAATCCGTGACAGTGCATGATGCATTTATGTTGATGCTGAAACCAAGAGGTGGTATGTTTTCTGCGTGTACACAATCAGTTCAACAATTACAATAATAAAATAATAAAAGCTGGTAAAAAAAAATTGATTGTTGAATGACTTGAGATCTATAAATGTTGAACCCAGCATATAAACATAACCATTCATAGTTACTTGCCTTGTGGAATCAATGTATATTATGAAAGTAAATTTAAAATACTAAATTTTAATCGAGCTTTAAACATGAATCACCAGCTAAGAGTTTGGGTATTGACAATAAAACCATCATTTATGTGTTCTATTTTCTCAGTTTTCCTTCATATCCTGAATATAATGGTGGGTTTTCATAAATATAATAGGATCATAAATCCTTGAATAAATATGAGATATTAGAAGTATAGAATTAGAATCCTTTGACAATATTGAGATGCTATCCAGTGATTAAAGACTTGAGTTCACTTCAGAGAGCAAAACATTTTCTCTTAATATTGAAAATCTTCAATATTTTAAAATACTTGCACAAATTTTCATTTTACAATTGACATGTAGAAAGAAATGAAGTCACTTTATAGTATAATGATATTTTATATTATAATGATTACATGTAAATATCTTACTATGCAATCTAAAATTAAACAAATAAACAAGAAACCCATGTAATGTCCAAATGTTCTTTTCACTATAAGCAATATTTCTAGTTTCTTACTAAGTAATTTATAATTTGATGGAAAAATTATAAAACTGATGCTATTATCATGTATTTAAATACTATTATTTGTCTATTTACAATAGACATATCTATTATTTAAAATATATAAACAGTTATGTGATAATTGCTTAAATTTACTTATAGTACAAAATTTGGTTAAAATACTCTATTTTCTAAAAAAATATGTTTGGGGAAACTCCCATTATTTTCTTTTTATTTAAATTATGAGACTCTTTGGTAGATGAAAAACAAAACAAAAAACTGTCTACCTTAATGATTTCACCCAAATCCAGATATCCACTTTCTAGATTTTAAAAATTCAGCCGCAGATTAATCCCAAACTTACATATGAAAGAAATTTACTCAATCCAAGACTTTGTCAATTTATAAAGCTACTTCATTACCACATAAAGGACACATTAGCAACACATACCTATTTGATTGCATTTGAGACAATATATTCAATTTTCAAGCTTACTTTTTACATTAGAAAATTACATAAGAAAATATTAAAACTTGGTTAGAGAGACTGAAGACTCTTTGGAACTCAGTTTTAAGATATTTTAACTCAGTTTGTGGGCTCTAAATGCTACATATTGCTTCTAGCTTTGATTTTTGAGTTTTGAATGATGCTAATAATGTTTGTTAAAATCACTTAATTACAGTATTCTTTGAAATCCACTGTTGTTGGTATTGGGAATCATTCAGTTGTGTTTACTACAAGGTCTATGGATGTTCTTGGACGTAGTAAAACCAAGCAAATCTCTAAGATAAATAAGTAACACCTTTTAAACACTAAATTATTTCAGCTATCCCTTTAGTTTTGTTCCTCACCCATAAATATTTACATAGAAACGTTTTCTGGATTAAAAACACCCAGGTTTGCTGTTTACTTTTGTAGAAAATAGATCTTCTTTACAATAAAGCCAACAATTGAAATTACTACGCTTAATAATATTCTTTAAAAATATCTAAGGTAGTTTGGCCTTTTTTAAATAGCCTTCATATTTAACGTAAAGGGAATTAAAATGAAGGAGGAAAAAAAAGAAGCAAAGAGATTCTAAACTAACAAGATGGAAAGCATCCGTCCGGCCGCAGGCAGACTGGTAGGGGAGTCCGTACCTGGGGACATCACGTTGGTGGCATGGTTGGAGACCGGGAGGCACTCGGTAGCGCTGTGATGCATGATCAGAGGCAGCGTTGCAGAAGCCTCCGAATTCAGAGGTATGAAGGTATCAGCCGAAGTAAAAGGTTGGCAACTCATTCCCACAAGACAGTAGAAAGCTGAGAACTGCTGCTCCCCAACTCAGACTTTTATTCTATTACTGTTTCCAAGGGCCGTTTCAAATCTCACTCCCTGCATATATACATCAGGAAGGCCCAGAGCACCAGGAGGGCGCGTGCTTGGTACTTATACTGCAGGGAAATCCCTTTATACATGTTAATCGTCTTTTCCCAGGGGTATTGCTTTATCAATGTGAACCGTCTTCCTTCTCCCCGGAACCTAATCCATGCCCAAGAGGGACCCTGGTTCTGGGGTATAGATGGAGGGAAAGGGAGAAATCTGAAACTTGAGTGGAGAACTTTCGTGATTGAGACCTTTTAGAAAGGATTCAAGAGCTTCAGAAGTTAAGTGTCCCTCCAAGAAATAATCCTAAAATGAATTGAAAAATACTAGGTGCCTCTGGGTTACTAACACAATAACAAATTTTTATACAGGAGATTATTTTTGATAACTTCTCATTCAATCTGCAAAACAGCATAAAACAAATATTACACAATTTTTAAGAAACTCTATTTAAGAAACTGTATTTGAGTTTGTAATTGAAAAAAACTCTAAGTTTAAATTGAAAGATGCATAGAAAACTCAATCTGAGAATGAATGTATTGCCAACTACTGATTCAGACTTAACATGCAATTGTGAAAAATCATGTAAACTAATTTGTTATATATTATAAGTAGAAAATAGAAAAATTTTGAATACAGTTGTAGTACTGTGTAGAGAAGACAAACATGACTGATAGTATCATTTTTCCTTGATTTCAATTTACTCATTAAGAACGAACATTTAGTTTAGGGCTTAGTGAGAAGCCCTTACTAGATGCTGACACTATCCTAGGCACTTTCTATAGTTCACATCATGCAAATCTCACATCCGTGTGAATTATTTGCCATACTGTCCTCACTATGCTTAACTCCTCCAGAACCCCTGATCTTAACCATTCTGCCCCAGAGCCTACAGTAACTATGGCAGCGCTGGGTGCAAACCTTCCACATCACGTGAGCATGGGGGGGAAAAACAATATATATATATGGATATACATATATATATATATATATATATATGGATATACATACATATATATATATATACTACATAGTTCATTCAAAGATAAATATATTAGCATCAAATACAATGACCATGATTTCTATAAATAAATGAGTGAATGCAATACTATTTTTAGAATGTCTGCTGGGGATAATAAAACAGAAGCAAACTGAGAGTCATAGGTCATAGAGATTCCTGACTTTCTAAGCAAGGGCCATGCCCCATTAGCTTTTTTGAAATTTTGTATTATGGAATGTTTCCAGATAACTTGGAATTGGCTGTTTTGTGCTAAACCTAATGTTTGTGTTGATAAGAATACTATCTCAAAAAACTTGCAACTTGAGCATTTTGTTAGTAACCAGTTGATATTTTTTGGAAAATATAAGATTACCCAAATCGTTAAATATTGCCTGAAAAATATTTATTGTGAAAGTGACATATTTTTTCATTCTGAATTCTATATCTTTGAAGCTCTGTTTTCTTTAAATGAGAGAAGGAGTTACAGGTAACCAAAAGTATGTATTTCACACTTGCAGAATTTATATAATTTTCAGACCACATAAGCAAAGAAACAAAAGGTTTTACAGGTTTTTCAATGTATGTATGCAGAGAATTTCCTAAGAAAACTAAATAAAAATAAGTTTATTGGGCATTGAATATAAAAAAAAATAAGCTAAATGATAGAGTCCTTGGAATATGCTGATAAAGAGTATCAACCCAGTGGCAGGTAATGAGGGGCATTGTAAAACCTCCCTGGACAAAGCAAAAAGCTTTCCCAGCAGTTTGTCATACTACATAGAATTTTACAGTTGAATCTTAGACATCATTTAATAACAGTTTTAAAATTTTTAACTCTTTGGGCCGTGAAATGCGAATGAGAATGCTCCAGTTAAAACTGTGCAAAGCCAGAAAATAGACTTTTCCACTACAGTATTCTCACTTAGTACTATTAACAGTTAATTTATCAGTTTTTAAAATCAGTTTCATAAACAATTATAATTTTGCATAATATTGAATTGTATGGATGTATTATAATTTGACCATCTCCTTATTGTTGGGTGTTTTGTATCACCTGCTTTTCGCTTTTATAAATAACAATGCAATGAATGTTTTTATACATTTTTTAACACAATGTGTTTTCACAATATAATCTGTATTTCAAAATATAATCTAAATATCCTCTTGATGGTAGATTCTTAGAGGTGGGATTATTAAGTTTGTCTTAACAGGTTTTTACAGGTCTTAAAAAACATTCCCAAATTGCTTTTTCAAAAAAGACTTTTTTTTTAAAAGAATAGCTTTATGTTCACAGCAAAATTGAGCAGAAAGTACTGAGAGTTCCCATCTACCCCTTATACCCAAACATGTACAGTCCTCCCCACTATCAAAATCATCCACCAGATTGTTACATTTGTTACAACTGATGAATCTGCATTGACACAGAATTATCACCCAAAGTCAGTTTATATTACAGTTCCCTCTTATAATATATTCTATGGGTTTTGACGAATGTGTAATTACTTGAATCTACCATTGTAGTGTCAGAAAAGTACAGAAAAGTTTCACTGCCCTACAAATCTTCTGTGCTTTGCCTCTTCATCCCTCCCTTCTAACCTCTGGTACCACTCACCATTATTTTTTTAAAGATTTATTTATTTATTTATTCATTTGAGACAGAGTGTGCAGTAATAGGGGAGAGAGGCAGAAGGAGAGGGAGAGAAATCCTCAAGCAGACTCCCTGCTGAGCGCTCCATCCTAGGACCCCAAGATCATGACCTGAGTCTCTGATACCACTTACCTTTTTATTGTCTACATAGTTTTGCCTTTTCCAAGATGTCATATAGTTTGAATTTCATAGTATGTAGCCTTTTCAGATTGGCATATTTCCCTTTAGTAATATGCATTTAAGAATCTTAAATTCTGGGTCTTTCATGCCTTGATAGCTCATTTCTTTTTAGTGCTGAATAATATTCCATTGTCTTGATGTGCAACAGTTGGTTTATCCATTCATTTACTGAAGGACATCTTGTTACTTCCAAGTCTTGTCATTTATGAATAAGGGTACTAAAAACATTTGTGTGCAGATTTTTGTGTAGACATGTTTTCAGTCCCTTAAGGTAAATACCAAGGAATGTGACTGTTGGATTGCATGGTAGGTGCATATCTAGTTTCGTAAGAAATACTGGTTTTTCCAAAGTGGCTGTAGCATTTTGTATTCCCACTAGCAATGAATGAGAGTTCCTGTTGCTCCACATTTGGCATCATCACTATTTTGGGTCTTAGCCATTCTGGTGGGTGTCCAGTGGTATCTCATTAAGTTAATTTGTAATTCCATGATAACGTATGATGTTTAACATGTTTTCATATGCTAATTTGCCAACTGTATGTCTTCTTTAGTGAGGTGTCTATTCAGGTAATTTGCCCATTTTTAAATCGGGTTGTTAGTTTTCTTTTTGTTGAATTTTAAGTGCTCTTTGTATATTTTGGGTAACAATCCATTTTCAGATATCTCTTTTGCAAATATTTTCTTCCAGTCTTTGGCTTAATTTTTCAAGCAATTTATTCTATTATTATTTGGTTTCAAATATCAGGAACAAGTTGAGCAAAAAATAATTATTATTAAGAGACATGGGGTTTCTTGGAACTCACAAAAAAAAAGAAAGTCAGGCCACTGGGAGATGCTAAATAGAAAATGGGAAGCCATCTGCCAAATCTCTCTGACTTGTCTATCTCCTTTTCCTTACTCCCTGCCTGACTGATTCTCCATCTATCTCTAGATCATGTCTTAAAGCTTTTAGCCAGGCGAAAGCTTTTCAGTCTACATTTATGAGAGAAACATCCTGATTGGCCATGGCTAAGTACATGTTCTAGAAGTACAACATTGTTCCTGGTGCCCAAATTTATGAATGGATTGGTTTGCATTGGAAGCAGTCAGGCATTTGCAGACGATGATGAATAGAATGTTATCTGGGAAGATGTTCTTAAAAGTGAGTGATGCTATTCTATAATTTTACAAAAGCACCAGTAGAGTGAAATTGACAATTTTCTTGCATTCTCCATGTCAGTAATAAAAGACTAAATACTTAGGTTTAATACTAAATATTAGTCTGTTAAGACAATGGCATCTTACTAATTAATTTACATTTTTATTGCTAATATGCTATTTTTTATATCTGTATTAGCTATTTATATTTATTGTTTTGTTGATTAGCAATATATTTCACCCCATTATTTAATATCTTTTTGTTTTATTATCAACTAGTGTGTTTTAAAATATATGAAGAATGTTAATTTTTAGTGTTTTTATTTTAATTGAAATTTTCCTAATTTCTTGTTTGTCTTTTAAATTTATATTGGACACTGACATACATAATAGGTTAGGTATGAACTAAATACATTGATCTTTTCTTTTTACATTTCTTAATGTAAAACTTTTTACATTTTTTACATTTTTTACATTTTCTCTTGCCCAGTAATTTTTGTTTTTGTTTTTTAAATTTATTTTTAAGATTTAAAAAAAAATTATTTGAGAGAAAGAGAGAGAGAACATGATTTGGGGGTAGGATCAGAGGAAGAAGCAGACTACCTGCTGAGCAGGGAGCCAGACACAGGTCTCCATCCCAGAACTCTGGTATCATGAGCTGAGTCAAAGGCAGATGCTTAATGACTGAGCTACCCAGGCTCCACTTATCCAGATATTTGTTTGTTTTGTATTTTATTTTGGAGCCTTAAAAATTCCTTTTGACGTTTTAAGTTGCCATATTCATGATGTTTCTAGAGTTTCCTTATAATTGTTTAGATACTAATGAATACTGTAGCATAATTTGAAAACTATCATATAAATAAAAAGTCTAATCAGGTTAAAGTAATAAAGGAAAATACAGCTGAAATCTTGGCCAGGCCGATTTGTTAGTTTTGTTCATTCATCGTACCTCCT